TCAGTTGATGAATGTTCTTGTCCCCCAGAATCTTTCTTTTCCCAGAGAGGCAGGGAACCACATAGCTGCCCGTCCTGTGATCACTCACAATAGTGCCTGTTCCTCCTCTCTATCTCTACATCTTCTATGTTCAACTCCTACCTCTTGGTTGGAGTATATTCACAGCCAGCAACCTTCTGGGGTTGTATAGTGGTACAGAGAGCCTGACTTGACTGCATGCTGTCACATGGTGGCTGCATGAACACGGGACCACATGGGACATTCTAGGGTGTGTGATGCTGTTCATCCAAGTTTAGTTTCTGTCAAAGGTTAAGCATCGCACCAACCCCCCCAAAATAAAAACAGACCAGATATATTTTGCATTAGTTAGGGCTTCTCTTGCTGTGATAAAAAAACCATGACCAAAAGCAACTAGAGGAGGAAAGGGTTTATTATAGCTTGTAGTTCAGGGACGTGAGAGCAGGCAGTTGGAGGCAAGAGCTGACGCAGAGGCTTTGGCTTGATCCTCATGGCTTGCTCAGTCTGCTTTCTTATACAGCTTAGGACCACATGCCCAGGACCATGATGTAATGGGCCCTCCCACATCAACCATCAAGACAAGAAAATGCCCTACAGATTCGCACACAGGCCAATCCTAGAGAGGCACTTTCTTGGTTACGATCCCTTCCTCCTAGATGATCCCAGCTTATGTCAAGTTGACATAAAACTAGTCAGCACAATTGGCAAACCAGCTCGACATATAAACATATCACTTATTAAGCCCTAACACTTTTTATTGTCCCTAACAGGCTCTGTTAATACAAAACAATGGCGATACAAAACATTCCAACTTTTATAAGTCCTACAGTTTTTAAACATCTCAACATTTTAAAAGTTCAACCTCTTTAAAATATCCAAAGTCTCTCTTAAATTGCAAAGTTTCTCTAAAATTCCATCTCTTTAAAAGCTCAAAGCCGCCGGGCGGTGGTGGTGCATGCCTTTAATCCCAGCACTCGGGAGGCAGAGGCAGGCGGATCTCTGTGAGTTCGAGGCCAGCCTGGTCTACAAGAGCTAGTTCCAGGACAGGCTCCAAAGCTACAGGGAAACCCTGTCTTGAAAAACCAAATAAATAAATAAATAAATAAATAAATAAAAACTCATTAAAAAAAAAAAAAGCGCTCAAAGCCTCCCAACTGTGGGTGCCTGTTAAATCAGAACAAAGACTTTCTTACTCTGAGGAGGAAGAACCAGGGCACAGTTACAATAAAATTAAAACCAAGTCAAAGTTCAATAGTATAAACATTTTAAAAGCCTTCTTTCTGGGACTCACAACCTTCTGGGCTTTAAAAACCACATTAAGCCATGAGGTAGTCTTTACAGAGAATAACCATCAAATATGGACTAAAATTTTTTTGTTATAGAGCCCACCGGAGCCTTCTTCAGAGACTCTCTCACTCGTCCTCTTTATCACAAATCAAGCATTTTCTGCTATATGTATTTCTGATGGTGGTACTTCTGGGACTAAACCCAAAGCCTGCACATGCTAAGCCCCACTTCTATTATTTTTAGGAGTTATGGTTGACTTGTCAATCACACTGAAAAACCTTATGTGAGTGGCTAGAGTGATGTCTCAGTGGTTAAGGCATTTGGTGTTCCTCTAGCAGAGCTGAGTTTGATTCCTGGCATCTCCACCTGGGAGCTCACGGCTGTCTGAAATTCCAGTCCCAAAGTATCTGATGCCATCCATCTTCTTGCTGTCAAGGGTACTGGATGCACATGGTGCACGGACAGACATGCAGACAAAGCACCATACAGACAAAATACATTTAAAAAGAAAAAAAAACCCTTGTTAACCATAACTCATGACCTTATTAATCCATTTCTTGAGACCATAATTCTCCCTCTTTTGAGCTTTTAAAATTTGATCCATTAAATAAATTGAATGTATGGGTACTTTGAGTTCTCGCTCTTTCAAACATGAGGTAATAAGCGAGCTGCATTAGGGCGTGAGACTATGCCTTTAATGAGGACGGTCTCCCAAAATGCGTTACAGGAAGCAGATACTTGTTTTGCCTTTCAAAAATGTATTTAATGCCCATGCCCCCAACTATGATTCAAAATAGGCATGAAATCCTAAAAATATAATTTTGTGTCCCCAGTCCCCTAGAAACATTTGCGTTGTCATATTCTAGAAGTTGGTGCCAGGGAGCGGGAGAGCAGAACTCCGAAGCTTCTTGGTTTCTTCGTTTGAGGCAAGTGTTGTATTCTGTTTTGGTATATGGTAGTTCACTCTATCTGTAGTTTTGTTACCCACAGTTAACAGTTGTTAAAAAGTATTAAATGGGGGCTAGAGAGATGGCCCAGTGGTTAAGAGTGCTTGACTGCTCTTCCAGAGGTCCTGAGTTCAATTCCCAGCACCCACATGGTGGCTCACAAACCATCTGTAATGGGATCAAATTCCTTCTTCCGGTACTCATGAAAACAGAGCATTCATAGACATAAAATACGTGAATAAATAAATCGTTTTAAAAAAGGACTATTAAACGAAACATTTCAGAAATAAACTATTTGTAAGTTTGCAATGGACTTTCTAATTAACACAATGAAATGGTGTGTTGACCACTCCCTCCTGCCTAGGCTCTTTGTACAGAGTATCTACACTGTCTATGCTATTTTCTTGTGGGCCACTTATCTAGTTTTGACCCGTTGCGGGGTTTTCAAGCAACTCTTATAATAGTATGTTACCTATAGGGGGTGTGGGAATGGGTAGGGTACTTTCTGTACTCTGCAATGTAGGAAGGAATCTGCATATATACTTTATTCATGACCAGTCTGCTTTCAAGAGTGCAGAGTTGACACCAGCAGACGTTAGGCAGACCAAGGGGGTTAAGAAGTGTCCGGTCGCAGATATTCAAAATGAAAGACAAGTGGAGAGGGTGGTAACAAGGGAGGCATGCCTATCACACCGATTCCAAGAATGTAAAGACCACCTGGGAAAAATTGTCTGTTTCCCTCTATAACAACTGCTGCTTGGGGTTGAGATGCTGGGACAGTTGCTTCAGGTGCTAACCTGTCAGGGACTTTTCCAAGCACTGGTCCCCTGAAGGAAGTGCAATATAAACATTCACACGTCTGTGTGAAGACAGACAACACATAGGATGCCCCATATTCCAGATACACCGCAACTCCAGGGTCATTCGCCTTTATTTCATCGCTGAAACTCTGTGTCATCTCGCAGCATCTTAAAAAGTGCCCATAGCCGGCGGTGGTGGTGCACACCTTTAATCCCAGCACTCGGGAGACAGAGGCAGGCAGATCTCTGTGATTTTGAGGTCAGCCTGGCCAGTTCCAGGACAGGCACCAAAGCTACAGAGAAACCCTGTGTCCAAAACCAAAACCAAAACCAAACCAAAACCAAAAAAAAAGAATAAGAAGAAGAGGCTGGTATAGCACAATAAGATTTGGAGAAAAAACACATTCATATGACATGTATTACAGGTTATTGTTCATTATTCTCTTAGTTGTTGTGAGTCTCTTACTGTGCCCAATTTACATATTAAACTTTATCATATGTATGCATATACATGGGCAAAGCTTACTATGCAGATTACATGATTTCCATTATCCATAGGGGTTCGAAAATGTGTCACATAAAAAAATGTTTATTTTTTTTGTCCTCGGTTTCGAGAGAAAATTCCGTTTTAGAATTAAGACATTTCACCACAATACAGCAGCTAGTTTTGTTTTAAATTGTTCATTTGAAAATGAGTGAAACGGGTGAGTCTATTTAAGCTCAATATTTGTTCTCCAAGCACAGACACCAGCCCTCCCTCCTGATAGCTCACCAAGTTGGATCAAATTCTGACATCTTACGCCCTCCCCCCCCCCCCATAAATCCAAAAGGCAACAAGGAGCAGTAACAATTCACAGTTCAGGGCCAGTACTTGGCAAGCCTAATAACCCGAGTTCCATCCCCGGGACCCACACATTGGTAGGAGAGAAGAGATGCACATAAGTTGTCCTCTGACCTCCACATGCATGTGCCAGCACATGCACAAATAAATAAATGCAATAAAATTGCAAAACAAAACCAAACGTTATGAGTTAGGGGATGGAGAGATGGCACTTGACACCCATGCATGAGGACCTGAGTTTGGATCCCAGCATCAACGAAACCCTGCAACCCCAAGGCTGGTGGCTACAAATCTAGGTCCAGGTTAAATGAGAGACCTTGTCTCAGAGGATCAAGGAGGGGTGTGTTCGAGCAGGACTCCCAATGTCCTGCTCTGGTCTCCGTATGTGTACAGAGACATGCAGGAATTCATGACTTATTTCCCCTTTCAGCGCACAGCTGGCAGCACAGAAAGTGTTTTCCGGTTGTCAGTTAATAAGAGCACAACTCAACTTTGAACATTTCCAGGGAACCTCCAAATGCTGGCAGGTTTATGTCCACTTTATTACAGTTGGTGAGGGAATATTGAGGCTGGGGGCGGGGCACAGTGAGGGAACAGACAGGACCTGCCACTCTCTTGTGCTGCTGGTTCTGAAAAGGGCAAACAGCACCACAGCACCCGCACCGCTTCTATGACACCGTGATACGGACAACGATGCTGTTTCTCAACAGCCAGCACCATACACCTATCCCAGCTCTGCTCTAAGGCTGTGCTCACGATAAAAGCTTTGTGGTCCAGCTAAAAGGCTTTCTAAGTCTCCTTTGATTGGTGTTCTTCAAACAAACTAAGCTGCCTAGACTGTGGCAGGAAATGGAGGACTAGGATGAGACATCCCTGTGGAGTTCACGCTGCGGAAATCAATGGACCAAGGGCGGAAATTTCCCAGAGAGGCTCATTAATTAGTAATCGGCGAGCCACTGGCCCGGGGTCACAAGGCAATGGAAGAGAGCGAAATCACCCAGGAGTGACGAAGTCGTTTAAATGTCAGGGTGAAAGTCACTCTGTACGCAGTGTCCACACCTGACATTCCCCGAGGTAGGGTCTCCGACGCCCGAGGTGCAGACTTACCCAGCAGGAGGAGCCGGTGCGTCTGCTGCAGGTCGCGCTTTTGCTCTCGCAGCATGCGGTCGATGCCGCGGCTCACTTTCCTCGCCTCCTTAGCGGCTTCTCGCTCCTCGGCGCGCAGCTGCTCTTGCCGCCGCCGGCTCTGCAGCTCCACTGCCGGCCGCGCGCTAGCGGGGTTCCGGCCAGCGCCTCGTCGGAGCAGTGTCCCCGCTGGAGCCGGGGCTGGGACCAGGACTGGGGCTGGGACGGCGCTGGGCTGCCCGTCCTCCGAGCGCAGGTCCGAGGCGGCGCAGGGGGCATCCTCCGAGCTGCCGAAAAGCAGCGGTCGCAAGCTATAGCACAGGCCCATCGGGACACCGGGCGCGGGGCGTGGGCAGGTCCCCCGGGTCAGACTGTAGCCCCCGACGATGCGTGAGGCTGCGCTGCCCTTGGACCCCGGGGTGCCGGCTGCGGGGCGTGGCTGCGGTGGGTCCGGCCCGAGGGCCACGGCCCCTCACTGCCCCGAGGGGCCATTGTGCACCGTCCGGCCCGTCCTGGGCGGGTGCTCTCACCTGAGAGCGCCGCGAGCTGGCAGAGCTGATCCAGCTGCCCGGCCTTGGCCAGTCCGGCCCCCTTACCGTAAATGCTGCTGCGCAGCCCGTTCCGGTTACCGTAAATACCTCCTCCTATGACAAGTATTGCTGCCCTAGCTGCTTACTTTTTAAGTACCAGGCAGAACCCCTTGCCCGGTTGCAGGGGCTATTAGGTTACCACTAGCTGGAGCTGACAGATCGACCCACGGTAGGGCAGAACATTGTTAAATACTGTTGAAAATGTTAGTTTTTGGTGGAACTTTCTATGAATGAGCAAAACTCCTGTACTGGCTAGTTTTGTGTCAACTTGACACAAGCTAGAGTCATCAAAGAGGAAGGAGCCTCAATTGAGGAAATGCCTCCGGTAAGGCATTTTAAATTAGTGATCAGTGGGGGAAGGTTGTGGGTGGTGCCATCCCTGGGCTGCTGGTGGTCCTCGGTTCTGTATGAAAATAGGTTGAGAAACCAGGGGAAGCAAGTCAGTAAGCAACACCCCTCCACGTCTTCTGCATCAGCTCCTGCCTCCAGGTTCTGCCCTGTTTTGAGTTCCTGTCCTGACTTCTTTCAGTGTCCCCCCCCCCACACCCCCACCAGCTTGCTTTTTGGTCATGGTGTTTCATTGCAGCAATGGAAACCCTAACCAAGATAACTCCCTAGAGTGGGTAGGAGAGATACCTACCCACTTTGGATAGACTGTTTGGATAGCAATGGATAGCCCCTCCCCGGGAAGATTTAAACGGCAGCCCCTCTTTGACAGCCAGCCTGTTGTATACACTTGAAAGCCAGGTGACACGTGCCAACTGAACAGGTTATGGCAACTGAAGCCATGACTCCTGTTCTGGAAGGTCTTGCGCCAGTCATGACCACTGTAGGTCGTGGTGCCAGCAAGATAGGCTGTGGTGACCGTTAGATGACCTGGAAGCTCTTTCATTGGAGGAGGAGGGGAAGCGGCAAGAGACCAGCGCTATGAAACTGGAGCCTATGCTATGGTAGATGTAAATACAGTTCTTCATTTACATGACATGCCCTCACCATGGCCTTCTCTGGTCTATATAAAATAGATGGTTCAGCTAGTCTTCATGTCGCTCTCATGGTGTTGCAGTATGAGGCCTAATAGAAAGGAATCTCCCAAATGGTCTTTTCTTGCCTATCACGGGTACAGCCAGCTTAGTTGGAAACAACAGTGCAACAGCGGCGAGAGCTGAAGGGTTAGGGGAGCAACCACCAGCCACTCCTCGGGCACAGTGGCAGAAGGCAGAGGCTGGAAGGAGGAAGACGGTGAGGAGTGAGGGATGGAGGCTCTTTGGGGCTGTAGTCACTAGAGACACTACCATCCCTCAGGGTTGAGGGTCCTGATACCCAAGCCTGCTTGAGAGCTATAATCCTAATTTCCTGGTCACTGGAGGGTAGGTGTGGAGCATCTCAATAGGAAGTACTTGAAGGCCCTAATGCTAGCTGGCACTGACTGCTGCTGACTGTTGCTACAGCTGCCACTTAAGAGCAGGGACTTTCACTGGAGGCACAGTGCCAGGCTGCTGGCAAGTGTGCACCCGGAGCCCAAAGTCTCTGGCTTCTAAGGCATGGATCCACACACCACGTATAGAAGGCTAGGGGTGCTGTCAAGAGTGACAACTGTTCTCATGGGGTTAGAGGGAGGCTTACTTTCTTCAAAAATTATTTTGAGCAGTGGCACATGCCTTTAATTTTTTGTTTTTTGTTTTTGTTTCAAGACAGGTTTTTTTTTTTTTTAAATTTAATTCTATTTTTTTTTCCTGTGAAGCCTTGGCTGTCCTGGAACTCATTCTGTAGATCAGGCTGGCTTCAAACTCAGAGATCTGTCTGCCTCTGCCTCCCAAGTGCTGGGATTAAAGGTGTGCACCACCACAGTGAAGGCAGAGGCAGGTGGATCTCTGTGAGTTCGAGGCCAGCCTGATCTACAAGAGCTAGTTCCAGGACAGGCTCCAAAGCTACAGAAAAACCCAGTCTTGAAAAACAAAACAAAAGAAAACAAAAAAAAAATCATTTTGGTTTTTGAGATTGTAATTTGATTGCATTATTTCTCCCTTCTCTTTCCTCCCTTCTACCTCCTCATGAACTCTTCTTGCTCTGCAATAGCATGTATACACACACACACACACACACACACACACACTCCTAAATATAACCACCTTGGTCTGCATAATGTTTCTTGTGTGCCTTCTCCAGGAGGGTACACTTTTTTTTCTCCCAGTAGCATGCTTAGCATCTTGCTATGAAAGTTAGTCAATACAAATGGAGCTTGCAGGGCAGTATCAACTCCATTTCTTCATGTCCCATGGTTCAAGTAAATGGTTGTCTTCAACATCAGGATCTTATCATCGAGCCTGGAGGGGAACCAAGAACATTGACAACAGCTTATAAAGTTTGGGGTGCCTTGGGACTTCACTGGCCAATGAACCCAAAAGAAGTAACACATTCCTGGCACTAGGCTTTCTCTCAACTTCTTGGATGACAGATTGCTGAAGCATATGGCAGTTCTTTGTAAATACATTAAAAAATTTTTTGTGTCTGTGTGAGTATACACGCTCATGCCTCCTGGCCATGGGCTGCGTGTAGAGATTGGCGCGCACGTTCTGGACGTTGGTTCTAGTCTTCCACCAGGTGATGCTCAAGATCACTCAGATCATCAGACTTGGCAGCAATTGTCTTTACCCTCTGGGCTTATTAACCAGCTTTTTTTTTTTTTTTTTGAGGAACTGCCACAGTGTATCTTATGTCACAAAATTCCTGAAAGAGTGCATATATTAAGTGCCTTCAACATAAAGTTCCTGTGAGACCATGCCTCTGCTTTATTTAGCCCATATACAGTGGAAAGACACATCAAACATTGCATTGTACCCTTAATTATATATGATCAGTTACAAAGAACTTGAATGCAACTAATTAAATTTCTAATTATCATTCTAATATTCTATTACTCAATGATCCTATTATTAGTAATTATTCTATTAATTATTCTATTATTTTCCATTGCTGTGACAAAAACACCATGACCAAGGTAGTTTAGAAAAGAATTGAGTTTGCATTTCCAGAGGGTTAAAGTCTCTGGTGGCAAGTGAAGACAGACAGCAGACAGCTGAGAGCTCGTGTCTTGATCCACAAGTAGGAGGCGGAGAGCACACTGGGGATGTTAGGAGGCTTTTAAATTCGCAAGCTTGCCCCCGGTGAAGTTTCAAAAGACTGATTTTTATCTAGTTCTGCTTCCTGCTTGTGGTTTGAGATGTGAGCTCAGGCTGCCATGTCTTTGCTCCCCCATCATGGACTTGAAACTGTTGAAACTGTAAACCCAATTAAATTCTTTCTTCTATAAGTGGTGTTGGTCACGGTGTCTTATTGCAGCAAGAGAAAAGTAACTAATACATTGTGACACCTGGTGTATCAACCACACTTCTGGGCAGACCCCACACTCAAAGAGTCCGTTGACATTAAACATTTATTTTCTTTGTTAAAAGGATTATTTAATTTTTAGGGCTAGAGAGATGTTTCAGCAGTTAAGGGCACTTGCTGCTCTGGCTGAGGACCTGTGCTCCCAGGCCACATATCACAGCTCGTAGCCATTTGTAACTCCAGGTCCAGGGGATCTGATTCCCTCTTCTGGCTTCTGCAGGTACCAGGTATGCATGTGGTACACAGACAAAAATGCAAACAAAACACTTATACACATAAAAGAAAAATAAGTCTTTTAAAAAAGATCTTCCTGGAAAACTTTAAGTGTGCAGGCATGTATCTGTGTGTAGTTTGGACATGCGGGTGCAGGTGCCTGTGGCCATCAGATCCTTTGGAACTAGAGTTACAGGCAGTTGTCAGCTACCCATTGTGGGGGGCTGGGAACCAAACTTGGGTCCTCTCCAAGAATGGTTTGCTCCCTTAGCCTCTGTGCCATCTCCCCAGCCCCAGATACTTAGCTTTTATGGTTGAGTTTGAAATTTTCGCTGCTCGTCGGATTTTGTATGGAATCTGTCCTCCTCTAGTGTTTATGGGTTTGTTTCTTGCTTTCAGGGCATTGATATTTGATACTGTGGGCCATGATGTGGAGACAATGCCAGCCAACTGCATTTCTTCCTTTCTCTCTTTTTTCCCCCCCCATTTTTAGGCTTTACCCTTTGGTTCCCTACAGTGTAGAAATTTGTTTTAGTGACCATGGTGATACCGGGTAGGGAAAAGCCCAAATAAGCCCGTGTTCTGCTTGCTTTTTTTTTTTACTTAACCATTGTTTTTGGAGATCACACAGTTGGCCATGCAGTGTTAGTTTCTTTGTGGTTTTGTTGACGTGACACCCGTGACCAGAGTACTGGAGTTTGTAATGCTCTTGTCACAAATGGCAATGAGCAGAGATGGGCTGAAAAGCTGCACTTGTTCTGAGGTTCATGATCTAAGAAGGCAGTAGGTTAAGACCCCCCAAAAACCTACGTCTCACGTCCAGGCTACATAGCAAAAGGGCACGTTTCAGTCAGCCACTCCACAATTCTGTCTCCTTCCGCTGGTGGCAGAGTCTTCCCTTCCTTACCTCCAGGGAAGGGTCTTTCATAACTACGTCGTATCCCAAGTTACAGAGACCAGAATAGGTCACAGGTGTACCAGGGTTTCATGGTAAGCTGTAGTTCCGTAGGCCCTGCCACCTGCCAAGAGCAAGGCAGACAACATCTGTGAAAATAGAGCGATATATTTGCTTCTGAGACAGTGACGTTTCGATTTTGTTTCTGGCCGCTGGACAATAGGCAAAGCAAAAGTCCTTCAAGGTGGGATGCAGATGTGCTCTCAGTCTATATCTCCCTGGAAGTCAGAAGTCAAAGGATGCCATAAACTCGCCAAGTACACCCAGTTTTCACTTCGGTTAGGCAGGGTGTTTGTCTCCCTGAAGGACAGAGAACTAGATATTAATAGGAACCCAAGCACCTCCGTCTTTGTGCAGGCAGCTTTAAATCCTGCTCGGCTGCCCACTGGTCTTGAGATGCCTCCTTTACCCCAGTGCAAAGCACGGGAGGCTTAAC